AACGCTTGAGATGGCAAGTGTTTTCAACAATTTACAGTATGTTATAGACGCATTCTGAAAATTTGTTTCTATCGCAAATCATTCACAAATACAAATTATATACCACCGTTGTTCTTCATTCGCAAATCCTGACTTTTGCTCATTATTTCCTGTCAAATGAAACAATGAAAAAATATATCATTTCTTTCAAATCTGAGAGGTTCCTTTGTAATAACCCCCTTTGGATAAGATAGTGCAACACTTCGAAATGGCTCTATCAGCACGAGTCGGGTTGACCTTATCTTATTAATTTTAGCTATGACTAATACGACGATATTGCCAGGGCGGGGGCACTGGGTCTAGATACCAATGATTTCTACAGAGGCATTTCTGTTTTCCATACACTATTTTTTCAAATATGTACGATATTATGAAAATTCAAATAAGGAAAAAGCGACAGTGAGCGAAGCTTTTTCAGCGTGTACGAGTCGCTAATCGATGTTGATAGTTATCTCTCTGTTATGCAACTGGGAGATGACGAAACTGATAGAATAGTTATGCAATAAACCTTTGGTCCTCCCCTTCCCACCAATTTCCTTATCCAGCTAGTAGAAGGCAAATATATTAACGGGGATGAGTCTGCATGCATGCTGCAAAATTGTTGATAGGAGGCCGTGATTTCTCTTCGCCTCATAGATGATCGTCTTATACAATTTTGAGTTAAACAAAATATTGATTTCACTTATTGCTAGGTGAACACCACGTTTCATTCTCTTTCCCATTTCTTCTACTCCCCATTGACAATTCATAAGGTGAAACTGTGGCAAGGAAATGCGAGCATTTAACACAATGCCTGCTGGTACTGTCGGGCTAGTACTACAGCCATGCATATAGAACCACTGAACGAAAATGTGATATCCACGGTGGATATCGACACTCCAGCATCAAAAGCAGAAAAAGAAATCCGATAAATAATTCTAAAATTAATTCGTTATGTCAGATTCAAAACCATCCTCCAATTGCACACAGTAAATCAAGTCCTGATTGCTTATTATATTGATACAGCGCTCATATATCAAGTATATTTGACCGCGAGGCGGAATTAACTGGATAAATCCATTATGGAAATTGAACTGATGTGTTTGGTTTCCTTGGCAATGTCAAGTTCATTTCACCCCTCCGCCATATACAACTCATTTGATATCCATCATATTTCTTTTTTAAAACTGAGAGAAACTTAAGAAAATGTTTTCACTACTATTAATTTTCAATAAATCTGAATACATTTTCAGTGTTCGAATAAAAATACCCTTTGTGCAGAGTCAAACTACTTGAAGGCGATTCCAAGCTCCTTTTAGAACTGATGACGACGAATGAATGCAATGGTTAAATAAAAAGTTACCCTTTGCATTCGTTCGACTTCAGTTCTTAAAGAGAGCTTGTCTTATAATTTAGTCATTCTGATACTCATAGCATCTTTCTGTTTCACTTGAAACATGCTCTGATATTATGAGGCATATTATGTGATCTGAGCACATCAGATGGGAAGAGTTATAACTGTCAATAAGTGTGATAGTTATCATGTAATCATTTACCTAATGTCAATACATTACATAATAGGCATTGTATTTAACAGCAGATATTAGCACAGGTATGTGTACACAAGTTTAATGACCCCAATTAAATGAAATATGAGCTGGGATGAAAGATCTCAAAAATCCCCAATTTTGGGCTCTCCTGGATCGCCAAATCAAGCTCATTATATCATGGCATCTCAGGGCTGAGAAGAAATGAGATGTCATGGTATATCATGATGTAATTTAGTCGTATACTCTAGTTTATAACTAGACTCTACACAGCTACACGAAGGGTAATAAAAAGTCTTCTACCAGCCCGACCATTAGTTGTGTTTTATACAATTTATAATATATTTGTCTTACATCGATATATGTATGTCTTGTCTAGATTTGTGGCTTTATAATTCGATTTGAATGTTACCTACAGACCTTACAGCTTGGGGGATTGTTTTGAAAATGGGAATATCTCTTTTCAAATCTAATGAATTTAGACATTTCTACACCTCACTTGCCCGTAGCCAGTTTTTACCAGGGGGAGGGGCTTTTTGACAGTTTTGGCTAAAAAATCGAGCGCTCCCGCGGACCCCCAGCTCCTCCCTGGCTATGGGCCTGCCTTACCTACAATACCTTTAGCTTCATCCACTGAATTTGTTGCTTTATTTGACATCTGAAAATGAATTTGGTCGAATATGACGATATTTCATAATTGATCACTTGGATTTTGTCTCATCACTTACATCACTTATCTCTTTACAGCTTAATGCTTTTAATTGATGGACATTTATGTCATTCATAACGCTGTTATAGTAAATCTCCCTATGTTGTATTATAAACAAATGCACGTGAATATAAACCTCGGTCTCATTCAAAACTGTTAACATTGTTTTAAATAGCATTATTTGACATTAGAAATATGTCTTTGAATTAGCAAAGTTGATCAATCAAGTTATCATAAACGACAACCACTCAAAGTTATGATTCCAATGAAACCATGTGCAACCAATTAATTGGTTTAACATTCGACTGATAAGTAAAAATAAGTGTTTGTAGAAAACAATCATATTGACTACGTCCACGAAACCCATGGGGGTTATTCAGGGGAGGTCTCCCAACCCCACAAAAAAAGGAAAAAAAGCAATTTTGTAAAACTTGTTGAAAAAACATTAACAAATTATAGTTTGAAATGTAGAATGAACAGTGCACAATGTAAATTTTAAAAAATCACACCCCTTGATAATTGCTGGCTACGCCCCTGAAATCGTTAAAACAATATATATATATATGATAAAATTAAAGAAATGAATAAATTGCATTCGTTGTTCTGCACAGAACATATGTCAAATATATGTTGTACTGATCATAGTGAACGAAGCCTGATGTGTCGGGGGTGTCAGAAATAACCTTTCAAAAGGAAACCCTCCAGTCTCTAAATCGTCTACACTCATGTTGCCCCAATTAACTAATTTATTTTCACTGAGAAAATGAAATCATTTTGATATCAAATTATAAAAGAATTAAGATAACTTACCTTGTACAAGCGTTCATTTATAAGTTAAGATGTTTATGTATACTCAACAAGTCTATTGTAACAATTATTTCTAAACAAACAGCCCAGCCCTAATCCTTGATAAACATTTTCGATAGAATATAAGTCCCGCGATTAAAATATCAATCCATAAATGCCTTTTGGCACAAATTCCCTTTCATAGAATAAATTCAAGTCAAATATAGTTTACAATATATATCTAATACACCTGTCCACCGAATCTCAACGATTCCTCAAAGTCCATTTTACCACAGTGATTGTATATGTTAAAAACTTACTTAGAGTTTCAATACAGGGTAGGTCTGGGGTGACATGCTTTAAACAGAGAATCTCAATCTAAATATTTGATAACATGTGGCAATATATTCAATATGAGTATCCTCAATTTAATCTTAAAGGGTTCGTATCTTACACAAGTTCATAATTTGAAAATTGTCACTTTTTAGAATTAACATTTTTGTTATCTTCATGTACAAAGGCCGAGTGGTTTACATTGGTGCTCCTTATAATTGAAATGATGATATAATCAAGCCAGTGTATAGTAACGAAGATGAATTGATATACCAAGAGAGATTTATATTATTTTCAAGAACTTCAGTAGTTATGAAATAAATTAAAGTACAGAACAGTGCAATGCAGTGCAGTCACTGCAGAACAGTGCAATGTAGTGCCGTCACTGCAGAACAGTGCAATGCAGTGCCGTCACTGCAGAACAGTGCAATGCAGTGCCGTCACTGCAGAACATTGCAATGCAGTGCAGTCAGTGCAGAACAGTGCAATGCAGTGCAGTCACTGCAGAACAATGCAATGCAGTGCAGTCACTTCCGAACAGTGCAATGCAGTACAGTCACTGCAGAACAGTGCAATACAGTGCAGTCACTGCAGAACTGGCAAAATTGTATACGTATATACAATGATACTGTAAACTTTTAAAGCACTGTTGACCGAGACCACCGGTCAAGGTTTACATTTGAGGTATACACTTTTGCCAGTTGACTGAATAGATAGGTTAACAATAGGATAGTTTCTAAATAGCAGAAAAAGCAATGAAATCTAGTGCTGCCATCTTTTATTCAGCTTTTAATTTGGGCTAGAGTTCCATTCACTTACATGCTAAAATCTTGGAAAAGTGGCTTATTTTCATGATTTATCAAAGAGTGTTAGTTGAATCTGTATAAAACTTGAATGATATACCACACGATGACCCTATGTATGTACATGTTGTGATTAAACATGCAAATGTTGGTTGACATACAAATAATCCAAGGTTTTAAAGAATTTTAGCATTGCATCTATGGAGATTTGGCCCAAGTTTTTTAAATTGTCATAGAAAATTATTCAAATTACATAACTGTGTAAATCAAAGCTATTATAGGAGAAAACATTTCACTGAATTCAAATATGCCATTTAAAAGAAGGTAATGGAAGTCATTAGAGGTTTAATATGCAAATCTCTTAAAACCTCACGAAAAACGAGGTTTAGGGAGATTTCAAAAGCTATAAAGCTATGGAAACTACATCCTTCTTCAAAGGACTTCATTTATGGCAGTAGTAACCTGTCAAAAAGTAACGGTTTCAGACTGATGTATGTTGGACATCCCCTTATGAACCATTTCAGAATTTAGTAGACAGAGAGATGACAGTAGTGACCTGTCCAGAAGTAACGGTTTCAGATATACAGTGGAGATCCACTTATAAATCTTTATGGCAAAAAGTATGGATACTAACTTAGTATAGTAGTCAGAGAGATGACAGTAGTGACCTGATCAGAAGTAACGGTTTCAGATGTACAGTGGAGATCCATTTATGAATCCTTTATGGCAAAAAGTATAGATACTAACTTAGTATAGTAGTCAGAGAGATGACAGTTGTGACCTGGCCAGAAGTAACGGTTTCAGATGTACAGTGGACACCCACTCATGAATTCTTTATGTCTGAAGAGAGATGAAGCAGTGACCTGCCAGTACTTACTAAGTAGAGAGAGAGATGACAGTAGTGACCTGTCAAAAAGTAACGGTTTCAGATGTACGTTGGACATACCCTTATGAATCATTTGTGTCTGAAAGCATTGTTACTTACTTAAAAGATACAAAGATGGCAGTAGTGACCTCCCTAAAGAGAAGATTTTAGAAGACAGACAACCAATGCCATCTATATGTTGTTGTCGACCTTGTGTATGCGTCTGTCATACTGTTATAGCAGTGCCTTCCTTCAAAATACCCATTAAAATCTCTTAATAACTACAATACAAATTCTGTGTAACGTGTGGAGATATAATTTTTGTAAAGCTGTAGCAATAATGAAAATGAGTCAAACAAAATATTCTGCATGTTAAGAATGAGTGCTTTGAAGATTATCTTGTGAAAACATCATGAAAAGATATTGAGAATTGAAAAAGTTATCGAGAATAAAGAAAGGATGATTTGTTCTGCCCAGGCCATTATGATGTTAAGTTTTAGATGATCACATGCAAATAACTAATAACAGAAACAACAATGCAAAATTGAACAGATTTGCCCAAATCCAAACTGAACTTTAACCAGCAATACATTGGCTAGCTGGGATGAAATATCCTCTTAAAACATAGGCATTTGCAATATTTCTACATTTGGTATCATGGGAACTGGAACTTCCAGGTGATATTTAATTACAAATCACAATGCACGAGATGTGGTAGAATCACAACTGATACTGTTTTAATGATCCTAGATTAATGTCAATTTTTTATGGAATTTTATAAAATGTATGTGAACTCATTAACATTGAAGATGACATGATTTTAGAATTTCTACATATTAACATAAACGCACTATTAGTAGAATGATGTACAGATTCATTAACCCCTGTATCACATAAAAGTATAAGTCATTTATTTACAAGAAAGTGACATGCAAGTATAAAAAGGCACACATTTTCTTGGAATATGTTACACTTTGATTCATTAATGTAATTTACTGTTCATAAAAATATTGTAAATTTTCAATCCGAAGGAAATAATGCTATACGATACAATACATTACACTAAATGTATTGATTCGTTTGTTCATACAATATTCAAACTGAGACCCCTGGATAAAGTAGTAAAATGTATTAAAATAGAATTTTTTATGTTATGTCAATCATTCGTCCACCTTTTCATCCTTATTCATGCATCAGAATGTGCATGTCGAGTTTAATAATTCTATACCACTGTGTTCAATAATAAGACCATATTATATCATACTGAAAGTCCATGCCCAGTTAAACTTTATACATTTACATGTATTGTATAATATAGGCCAAGTAAATATTGGATAGTATGTTTTTGAAATAACTAAAGTCGTTGTACCGGCTTACTAGGACTAATATATTGAAACAACAAGTGCCAAACAAGACTGCCGTCTGTTTCGCAAGCTATTATATTCTGACAAATCAAGCACTGTGTCGATATGAGGCCAACCCATGACAAAATGTGGATGAATATTGCAATTTTTGCTGGTATTTCTACAGTATTAGGACAGCTTTTGGTCCATGCGCATGGAGTTGTCTCTACTGACAACTACCTGAATAAATGCATGCTCCTGCTTCCCGAGTATTCCAAGGATACGCCGAGTCCAGAGCCAGGGCTCGAGGTAAGAAGCAAAGTTTGTGTTTTAAGGTAACGGTAAAGTTAATCAAAAGTACAAAAAATGGCAGCCATATTTTTTTGATAAAGTCACAAGATTTTGTTTCTGTTTTCCTTATACGTGAATGCATTTCCTTATTAAAGAGACATGTCAAAGAAAACTTCACATTTAAACGCATTTTTATAGCTATGAATTGGAGGTGCATGGGTCCCTAAAGCGAGCATGAAATGAGGCAAATTTTTTAAAGTTTCCAGGAGTAGCCTTGCAACAGTCACACATTTGCAAGAATCCAAAATTTCCACAAATCTCTTTATCTTAACAAGGAACATCGAGGGAGTATGAGAATATGCACTTCTTGCATTGTTGGAGTATGATAAAGCTCAAACCATAGTTTCTTATAAATATTTCATGTCCACCATTTTGTTAGCCGGAACTACTTCTAGACTTCCTGATTAATCCTCACACAAGTTTTTGCCACCAAGTGGCATGGATTATCAATTGTATATTTTATCCATGATAGATACATAATTGATGTTTTTTAAATGGTAAACAATGGATACATGAGTGAGGATTACTTTGGACAAGAAAATAGTTCCAGCAAACAAACTGGTGGACATGAAATATTTAGAATTTACAATGGTTTGAGCTTTATTATGCTCTAACAATGCAAGAAGTACACATTTTTATGCTCCTTTGATGTTCCTTGGTAAGGCAAATGTGTCTCCATTGCAATCCTACTCCTTGAAATTTTAAAAAGTTATCCTCACTTCACTGTCTCCATGCTAGCTTTAGGGACTCATGCACCTCCAATTCATTGTTATAAAAATGCGTTTAAATGTGAAGTTTTCTTTGACATGTCTCTTTAGTCAGGAAATGCATTCACATATATGGAATACAGAATACAAAATCTTATGACTTAGTCAAAAAATATGGCTGCCATTTTTTGTACTTTTGATTAACTTTACCGTTACCTTAAGGTACAGCTGAAAAAAAAACATTTTGGTAAAAAATTGCTATACCTGCACAGGTATACATGTCATGATATAGGGAGAAAATCAATAAACTCAAGGCCTGTTTTACACTTGCTAACTGTAAATTGAATGCTCTTACTATGTTAGAATATTATCTGTCCCTATATCTTGCACATGTTATTTTCTGGTACAAAATAAAGTATGAAGGCATGTGTCAATTTCCTTGCTTTTTTCAGGAAAGTATCATTACATTGTCTTCTTTTAAAATATCTGGTAGGAGTTCAATGGGAACTCTGGGAAATTCTTATAGTTCACACTTTCTATTTTCTATTTTTCCAAATTTTCTTTCAAAGTTTCCAGACAACACAGGAGCTACCATTGACCTGTTTCCAGGTTTACCCAAAATAGACAGTCTAATGATACTTTCCTGAAAAAAGCAAGGAAATATTTTTTATGAAAAAAGTACATTTCTTTTTATAATTCATCGTTAGATACGATATCTAGTACCTGTAAGAGCATTATTATTTGACGTTTATAGTAAGTATGTACTAATTTCGAATAACTTGTTCATATCTTAAAAGTGTAAAGAGGGAAAATTTGAACTAATTCTTCACCTTCATCCTTGTTTCAGTGTTCTACATTTGTCGGTAATTCATGCTGTAAGAAGGGAGTAACGCTGCCCTTCATGACTGAATATAACTGGCAGAACATCACTGATTACCTGCACTGTCCTCAGAAGGTGGCACTTGAACCACAGTGTCAGAAACAGTTTTTTGAGGAACTCTGTTTCTTTCTTTGCTCTCCAGATATCGGTCCTTGGATTGAATTAGCGGTGAGAGTCTTTTATCATTAATGTTTTGAATAGCTGAGATAAATACCTAAACTATGCTTGAATTGGCAGCTTATGTTACATTTTACTCTACGTTTGATAATACATTTCACAGTATTAACAAATATAATATTTTATAAATCCACAAATTGACAAAAACACACAAATCAAGTTGATCAAATTTGAACTTAAAACTAACTTAAACCCCACACTGTCTCTTATGAAAGGTAGATGGTCCATGGTCCAGTTTAACTTACACTTAGCTCAATACTACAGATAGTAGCACAAAACAATAAGATGTTTTATTTTAAAGAATGCATAGTAATAAAAGAGTACATATATACATTCATATTGTTATTTAACACCAAACGTTTTTTGGAAGGCGTTCAGCGACTGTAACAATTTGCATTCGGCGTCTGTCAAAATTCGCGGCTTCTGTAACAATATGCGGCGTCTGTAACTATGTGCAATAACTTGCAAGGTGGTGACACTTTGCAGTTGTCATGTTAATACTATACCTTGTTGATAGCTTTCCAATTACGGTTTTTTACAGACAATGGAAAAATAATGTACCAGTCTTTTGTTACAACTGTACATTCTTTAAAATAAACTATAGTTTTATTGTCTTGCTACTTAAATGGGGTTTTAACTTTACACAGGGTGGGCCAAAAAACGCCACTTTTTTAGTGCTATAACTTTTTTTAATTTTTGATACAAAATCATAATTTGCATACCAAATGAAACTTGAGGTTGTTATCTAGCCATTGATCATGAATTTTACACTTTTACATGAATAAAATATGTCACCAGCGTCTCACTTAAACATGTGGTGTGCCATGAGAAATAAGCATAATTTACAAATTATTCCTGATGATACGGCCTGATGATTGCCAAGCTAATAGCCCTGATGCAAACCCCAGTGAGTATGCGGTATGGGAAGGTCTCCAGGAGATTGTATGAACTAAAGCTGGCAATTAAGACAGGTTGAAAAAAACTTAGCTAACATTTCATTGATACTGCTATATCAGCAAGGCGACTAAAATTTAAAATATATCATCAAATAGAATGGGGGATCAATTGATCATGAACTCCTCTTTTAGATCAAATATAATCCAAGTCGAAGGACTTGTTAAATTATATTATACTAAGAACCCGCCCTGGCACTATATTGCAAAAGGTACAGTCTTATTGGGATCCCTTTAAGGACTTTCATGAAATTTTATGAAAACGCAATTATAGATTTTTGAAAAAAAATTCAAAATATTCTCAACTGATATGTATATTTTTATTTTTTTGAAAAATATAGTGAATATTTTTGTAAAAAATATGATTTCTGTCCCATTTCTGTAACCACTCCCATCATGGCAGATTATTTGTGAAAGAACGAGTGTCTTTAAGACCCTATTTTAGCCCCCAAGATATTTAAAAAAAATTGTACAGGATATCAAAGAAGAGACTTTGTTTGATAACCAGATCCAAAAATTAGGTCATCCTGACCTTTATATTTCAAAATATAGGTCATTCTATTAAGATGTATAAAATTACCTTTTCACGGAAAAATCACTTTTTTACATCATTATTGTCACTGTTTCTATTTATGATCAAAATAATCATTATTTTTAGTCATTCAAGACTTTTTATTGATCATCTTGGTATTATCTAACATAATAGTGACAAAGCATAATGGGCAACATTCGAAAACATATAAAATATGCAAGTCAAAATGCAAACAAAATATTGAATAGTGATCTTCTTTATACTTCATTGAGATCTATTGTGTACAAAAAAGTTTGCAAAACTATATCAGAAAAGAAAGAACAAGGGGCAACATTAAAAACCACATGAAGTAATTAACAAGTCAAAATTGTATATCAATCAATTATATATTGATGTGCTTCCTTGAGATCAATTGCTCTTATACAGTTTGTTTTAAAGTTCTGAATTTATTATTTGACATCAAAGTGAGGAAGCACAAAGAGCAACATTTGAAAACACATAAAATAAAACAATTTCTAAAAGGTTACTTTGGACTTTACTCTTAAAACGTCATGCTCCAGTGCAAGCATACATATTAGTTCATGAAAAGATCATATGAATAAAGAAAATATACTCAAATATATAAAACACAACTGTCACAATCATTCTAAGGATTTTCAAAATGGCTGACATAATTTCATTTCATGCTGAAAATTGCAGAAAAGTTCAATTTTTGCACCACGCCTGGTCCTTACCTAGATTTTTACATATCTAAAGTAGTACCTTAGAAGTACACTATTCCCTTACTCCCTTTCTAGGTAAGAACCAGGCGTTATATGAACAAAGCATGAGTTTATCATGACCTCCCTCTCTCTAAAAATAAGTATGTCAACACAAAAAAAAATTCACATTTTCACAGGAAGTGATACATACCTCCCAAATCAACCAAAATATACTTATATCAGTAATCTTGAATGCTTTTTATTGCTATTTCTTGAAAATGTACATATTTATCTACAATTTAATCCTACATATCAAAGATATTAACGACATTGCATTTTTCAAAAAATGTTAAGTGACCCCAGGGGTGTCTATAGCCATTATTCTTTAGTGTTCTTTAGAAAATGTAGTAAATAAAGCCTTAAAACAATTTTCAAGTAGTATTTAAGTAAATTATGCATCATGTAATCCCTACTGAAATGTATCCAGCAGATTTATGTGTGATGATGCATGATATGTGGCATAAAAAGGGATCATAATCCAGACCCCCATTATTTACCCGTCTCAATTGAACATGAACCATGGTTCATTGAATGGACAAATTCACGGTGAGCTGTGTTCTCCACCACTTTTATTTTTAGATGTACACAGATCCAAAATTGAATGAGGCAACATTTTCAGTTGCAAAAAAGTGGTGGAGAACACAGCTCATATAGTTTTTTGGACTTCTTTGGTATTTTTTCTAAAACATTTCTGCCACCATTTTGGATACAATGCCACCTATCAAAACGTACCGTTGTGTTGGATGTGATAAACAAAGTCCAGTTGTCTCTAGGAGAAAAGTAACTAAATCTAACACTCTTGGCAAATTATGGAAAGAAAAATATCACAAAGATCCCCCTGATAATTCAGTTATATGTTACAAATGCCGGATTACACTCACAGGACCCAAAAACATTACCCTCCCCAACCAGCAGATGAAGGTGAAAAAACAGATAATCCATCTATGAAGATACAAATCTCCTTTCTCATGACTACAAAGTCTAAGAGAGGTGCATTGTTTGTGACAAGCAGATTAAAGCTCAAGTAATGAAACTTTTTATATTTTCATCCTGCTTTTACTTAAAATATTTTTGATAGGAGTTGATCAGTATAATAAGTGACCAAATATGTGTAAAAGTATTGATATTCATCAAACATTAGGGGTCGGGTCAAAATGTCGATGTCCGTCAAAAAACGTAATTAATTTCGTTAGGGGGAGGGGGTCAAATCCTGATTTCATTAGGTGACGGACATCGATATTTTGACCCGACCCCTTAGAAACTGTACATTCAACTTTCAGCAACAGTACCTATTGGTACCCATAGAAATTCAATAAATACTAATATGTTGTATCAAAGCTTTAGAATATTAATATCAAATATATTACAATACAATATTTTGACAGTATACCAGTACATGTTTTTTTTACTAAACATTTTCCTTGTGTTAAGTATGGTGCAAATACTACTCAAAGGCTATTAGATACCTATTCCCCACGGAAATCAATGTAAAGTCAGGTCTAACTCATGATTTTATTTTATTTAGGTATGTTTAAGGAAATTACTTGATCATTAGATTGATTTTACCAACTTGACCTTTTTGCACCCAGTGACCTCATTGACTCATCATCTGACCTAATTTTGAAATATTATTGTGAAGTTCATTTGTGAGGATACTCTAGATGCAAAATAAGTTTGATTCTGATGGGGGCAGAAAGGGGGGTCTGTTGGGACGGTACCTTTTGGGTATGTAGGCTGGAAAATAAAAAAAGTTGTAGCGTCTTGAAAAAAAGTGGCGTTTTTTGGCCCAAAGTTAAACTTCATTATTGGATGAATGTTTCGATCAATCAATGAGCAAATCGTTCACTGCAATCGTCCCTCCTTCTGAGAAACACCCTGTACCAACTGCTCGGGAGATTGCATTTCATATTTTCCTTTTTACGTTCTTAGACTCATGATGAACCGGTGACTGATAGATTTAAAGACATCCCAATCTGTGCAAGTGTATGTGATCAATGGTACAACGCATGTCAGGATGAATATACGTGTACGGATAACTGGTACATAGGATTCAACAATACATCAGGTATTTCCTTGTCATGCGATGTTTTGTTTATAGGACGGTTTATTTCATTACTCGGCAATATTATAACGAATTCTGTAGATCTCAAAGGAGTTGTCACCAAAAATCTCTAAATGGCATTTTCCAAAAAGTAAAATTTACTAAATATCACAAACTAAAACATAATTATATCTTTAAAATACTTTATCGACACCAACTATTATTAATCAGATTCAAATATAATTGCATTAGTTGGAGAGTGTGACAGAGTCCTAAATATTTTCCAGGTTTAAACATTCGTGATGCCTTTCAAATAGATAATGTATTGTACGTTTGATTTTTCCAGGAATGAATAAATGTCATGAGGGAACCCAATGTCTCAAATATCCTGAGTACTTTCCAACTTCAAAGAGTTTCTGCGAAAACATATGGGACAAATCATTCAAGGTTGTCCCAGATGACGAGCCATGTATGCACTTTTCATATGACGCCACTTCCGGTAATAACCCAAATCGAGCTGTGGCAGAGGCTCGAGCAAAGGAACTATCCACATCATCAAGCCTCAGAATCTATATTTCACAAATACTTATCGTGGGACTTGCCATTTTGGTTTATAAAGTGAACACATAATAGATGAATTCGACTCCATGGACCAAAATGATTCAAATGACTTTTGAACATGTTTTCGCATTGCATAAACATGATATGGTTTACATTTTACATCCTTAAGTTCAAATTCATTTAAGTTCAGTTTAAATAAATTAAGGCATTGTGATTGATTGGTCAGTAAAATGATATCTTATGGCGTTTGATAATTTGATGCGCGTGATTTGCCTCTAAACACACTTTACATTACTACTTAGGGACCCAGCCTGAATATTTTTGTTTTTGAATATTGGAGAGTATTACGCGAGATTTTTTCATTTTCTTGTTGGAAAATATATTTATTTTATGATGTGGGGTGATATCTAGAGTTTGAGGCTTGCGAAAATAAGATATCCTCATCTTTATACCCCCACCCTATAATTTCAGGGGGGTCAGAAGAAAATAAACTTTAATTCATAACTTTGGAAGTAAATGAGATACAAACTTCATTTTTTCACCATAATTTATAGAATAACATTAGTAATGCAGAAAAAAATATATCAAACGAAAATAAGCTAATTTGCATAATTTAACCCTTAAACCGCCATAAAAACTATTAAATAACGGAATGATAATAAACAACTTTTATTGTAATTGCCTTCATATGAAGTTATAACTTATGAAATAATTCCTAAAAATGCATCTATATATGTATATTAGATGAGCAAAATATTAAAAGTGTATCTTACATAACGACTGTGAAAAATATTTCTCCCCTTACCCTAAAATTGAAGGGAGGGGGTCAAAAGAAAATAAACTTTGATTCATAACTTTGGAAGTATATAAGATACAAACTTAATTTTTTCACCAAAATTTACAAAATAATATCAGTAATGGAGAAAAAAATATTTTGAACAAAAATAAGCTAATTTGCTTAATTTAACCCTTAAACCGCCATAAAAACTATTAAATGACAAAATGATAATATATGACATTTACTGTAATTACCTTCATATGAAGTTATAACTGATGAAATAATTCCTAAAAATGCATCTATATATGTATAATAGATGTGAAAAATATTAAAAGTGCATCTTATATATAGATTGTGAAAAATTTTCTCCCCCTACCCAGATATTTCAGGGGGGTCAACTGAAAATGGACTTTAATTTATAACTTTGGAAGTATATGAGGTATAAACCTATTTGTTCACCAGAATTTATGTAATAACATCAGTAACTAAGAAAAAACATTTTTGATATGCAAATAAGCTAATTTGCATAATTTAACCCTTATACAGTCATAAAAACCGTTAAATGACAAAACGATAAAATACGACATTTATTTTAATTGACCTCTCATGAAGTTATAACTTATGAAATAATTCATATAGTTGCATTTATATTTGTATAACAGATGTGCAAAATATTAAAAGTGTATCTTACATAACGACTGTGAAAAAAATTCTCCCCCTAACCAGATATTTGAGGGGGGGGGGTCAAAATGAAAATGGACTTTAATTCATAACTTTGGAAGTATATGAGGTACAAACTTACTTTTTCACCAATATTTATGTTACATCATCAGTAATTCAGAAAAAATATTTTTTGATATGCAAATAAGCTAATTTGCATAATTTAACCCTTATAAAGTAATAAAAACCGTTAAATGACGAAGTGATAAAATATGGCATTTACTTTAATTGACTTTTTATGAAGTTATAACTTCGAGAAAAAATTTACAACAGATATGCAAAATATAAAGAGGTTATTTTATATAATGAGTGTGAAAAGAATCTTACACCCTACCTTAATACTTTTGAGGGCTCGGGGGGGGGGGGTTAAAGAAAATAATAGACTTTAACTCATAACTTTGAAATAATTTAAGAAAGAGCTTATATTTCTTTGCTGAAAATTGAGAAATCACATCAATAATGAAACGAATATTACATGGGGACCATACTATATTTCAACTAATTTGCATAATTTAAGCTTCAAACAGTCATGAGAATCATTATAAGGCAAAGTGGTTCTATACTAAAATTGACTTCACATGAAGTAAGGACTTTGACGATATATCCTTTCTTAATACTAGCATTTAAATGGAAAATGATATCAACAATTATGAAGCTATTTCAATGCCCATGGAGATTTTCATAGATATAATACTAGAGGCAAATCAAACTTCACCCTTCCTAAAGCAAAACTGAAAATTATGGCAAACCTTTAGTGGTTACTCCATACTATGGAACAATCTCCCAGAAGAAATAAAAAAGTCAAATTCCATTTCTTTTCTTAAATCAAAACTGAAGAAGCATATTCTCTTAGCTTATTAATCATTAGTTGACTATATCATTTCTTGTTTCTTCAGTAAGAAGGGTAGGCTCTCAAGGGAGGTATATGGGCCAACCTGGGGGCTGCTCCAAACTACTTAAGATCTAAAATAATAATTCTGACCATACCAACCTTGGGGAAGGTAAAATAATAACTAATATTTTATAAGAATCACACTTTTAACGATTATTTGCATCAATGCGGTAGCCTGGTATCTTTAAATAATAATTAATGAAGCTACACATTCATAAAATTTCCCCATGGCATATGGCACCTTCTTGGCTTCAAATGAAACGAGCATCATGGATCCCCCATACCTTTATTTATTATAATCTAACTTTTGTGATTACATTCCGGTTTGATTCGTTGACAACATAATGATATACTTCATGATTTAACTACTATATGTACGGATATTTAAGCATCACCTGTGGTGCCACCTATTATTAATAATATGTGTACACATAATGATTAAATGTATGAATAAATTGAGTTTAATCGAACTTGCAATGTTTCAGAATAACCCTTAAAAAGGTAACCATAACAATTCTAAAGTTTATTGAACCATATTCAGAGTCACTGTGGGGACTGGTGTCATATTCTAGGTTGTAGGTACCTGATGCAGTGAAAATGTCATCATATATGTTTGGGTAAATCCATTTATTCCCGTCCACACTCACTTTCCTTTGAGCCGCATGAACATGCAGCAAAACATTCTGTACCTGCAGTGGCACATGAGCAAGTGGTTTAACATATCGCTTTGTCCTTGTATCGTTTGCATGTGCAAAATGACTTTGGGATTTTTGTTATATCAAGTTTCGGTTTTTTGGTCATTTTAATGGTCTCAAGAGTAATATGAACCACTTGACATCCAAATCCATTCCCTGGCTCTGGAATCTCAAAAAGTGGTTTGTCAGCATTCATTGAAATGTATAATTGTTATAAACCAAAAATGCATCCATAGTTAGTGGTAATGCTCTAATATCATTTTGGATGCTGCAAACAAGTGTAATACATCCAATGATAGTTTGTTTTTATATTGAAATATAAACAAAAATAACGCAACTCCCCTAGACCAGAGATCGTGCCCATGTGGACAGTCAATGGAGTCAGAAACTCACTTTAAAGTAGAATGTCATATATTTGAAAATGAACGATTAAGTCTGTTTGCCTAAATGACTGATATCCATAGTGACTTTTACATGTATACAAGTCTTGGAAAATATTGTATAATAATGAATGAAAAAAACTGTTCAAATGACACTTGGAAAATGTATGATAAATATGTTAGTCAAAAGGCGTGAAATAGTTACATGCGATGGTCTCTAATAGGTTGGCATCAACCAGGAATTGTTTTAATTCATGTATGTATCTTAATGTAACATCTTTAGTGTGTTAGACTTTAATTAATAAATTTACTACTACTACTAGTATAATATTGTTTCCATGTAATATTTGTTTCATTCTTGATGTGATTTCTCAATATTCTGGCGAAGAAATACATGTATAAGCTCTTTCTTATACGATTTCAAAGTTATGAATCAAAGTTTATTATTTTCTTTTAACTTCCCCCAACCCTAAAATATTAGGGTAGGGTGTGAGATTTTTTCACACTCATTATATACAATACCCTTTTTATATTGTGCATACCCGTTGTAAATGTATTTCTAGGAATTATTTCACAAGTTATAACTTCATAGAAGTCAATTAAAGTAAATTTCGTATTTCATCACTTTGTCATTTAACGTTTTTTATGACTGTATAAGGGTTAAATTATGCAAATTAGCTTATTTTCATATCAAGATATTTCTTCCGAATTACTGACGTTATAACATAAATTTTGGTGAAAGAATTAAGTTTGTACCTCATATACTTCCAAAGTTATGAATTAAAGTCCATTTCGATTTGATAAATAAATAAATATCTGGGTAGGGGGACAATTTTTTTTCAGCGTCGTTATGTAAGATACACTTTTAATATTTTGCACATCTGTTATACATATATAGATGCATTTTTAGGAATTGCTTTATTTGTTAAAACTTCATGAGAGGTCAATTAGAGTAAATGTCGTATTTTATCGCATCGTCACTTAACAGTTTTTATGACTGTATAAGGGTTAAATTATGCAGATTAGCTTATTTGCGTATCAAAAATATTTTTTTTCTGAATTACTGATGTTATTACATAAACTTTGGTGAAAAAATTAAGTTTGTACCTCATATACTTTTAAAATTATGAATTAAAGTCCATTTTTATTTGACCCCCTCCCCTCAAAAATCTGGATAGGGGGAGAATTCTTTTCACAGTCTTTATGTAAGATACACTTCTAATATTTTGCACATTTATTATACATATATAGATGCATATTTAGGAATTATTTCATAAGTTATAACTTCATATGAAGGCTATAACAGTAGATGTGATATAACATCATTTCGTCATTTACTAGTTTTTATGGCAGTTTAAGGGTTAAATTATGCAAATTAGTTTTTTTTCATTCAAAATATTTTTTCTTCATTACTGATGTTATTTCATAAATGTTGGTGAAAAAATGAAGTTTGTATCTCATATACTTCCAAAGTTATGAATTAAAGTCTATTTTCTTCTGACCCCCCTAAAATTATAGGGCGGGGGGTATAAAGATGAAGATATCTTATTTTCGCAAGTCTCAAACTCTAGATATCACCCCACATCATAAAAGTAACTTATTTT